CATTCTTAGGTTAAACATCACACAATAAACATAAAAAATGTTTTCAGTCCAAAAATTATACTTCTTCTATCTGACAGAGTTCTGGGCAAATCATGCTGTAAGAAACATTCTAAGTTTTAAATAAAAACCTTGATACAAAGTTCTACTTACACGGGATAATGTCAACTATGTTAGAGAAAGAGAGAAAATAAATAGGAGAAATGGAAAGAAGTACAAACACACAAAACTATTAAAACATTTTTGGAATAATGGACCTAGTCAGTATTTTCCTAAACTTTATTTTTCTTTAAAATAGAATTTTAACATTCCTGAATTGCTAGAAACCTAATATAATTTAACAAACACATGGTATAACATTAGGAAAGCTTTGATTTAGGGTGTTTATTTGCTTATTTGTTTGGTAAACAAGGTGAAATTAATATGCACTAGTTACAACATTTAGAAAATCAAATTTGCTGCATGTCATAAAGAAATGTGTAGCCCTGGCCGGTTTGGCTCAGCGGTTAGAGCGTCGGCCTGTGGTCCAGAGAGACCCAGGTTCAGTTCCCGCTGGGGGCATGTACCTCGGTTGCAGTTTGTCCCCGGCCCTGGTTGGTTGTGCGGGTGGCAGCCACTCGATGTGTCCCTTTCACATCGATGTTTCTCTCTCTCTCTCTCTCTCTCGTCCTCTCTCTCCCTCCCACTCTATCTGAACAAAAAATGAAAAAATGTCCTCGGGTGAGGATAAAAAAAAAATAAAAGAAAAGAAATGTGTAAATATACCCAAGAAAATCAGTTAAGGTAACAGACAAAACTGAAATCTTGATTTGTTTTTCCTTACCCATTTTTTTCTTCTGATTATTTTCACTCTCCTTCTAAACACCTTTCTTGGAGGATTCAAATCAGGATATAGAATGAAACCCAAACTCCTCATTTCTTGAAGAGAACACTTAAATAGTGCTGCTATATGCCAAGCACTTTATACATATTAACTCAAATCATCTAAGTAACTCCTGGTAACGTGGCTGCACTTAACCTCCAGCCCTTCCCCATCTCTGCAACCGCAATTCTGCTCATGTGGCCTGAACCAAGCTCACAGGTACCTCGAGACCTCTACTTATCTCTTTTTGAGACACTGTTCCCACCTCTGCCCCCACCACAGCCCCAAAAATCCACCTGTCAAAGGCCAAGATGGGCTCCAGCCCCACCCTCATTAACCCTTCCCAATCCTCCTGGTCCAAACTGTTCCCCTCACCATTATTCTTCGTGGTAATACACGTACAAATCATTTCTTGTTTTCTTTTACAAAGATAAAAGTATAATTTCAAAACATTTTGAACCACTTGTGAAGAACACAATCTCTTACAGGAACTAAACCTAGTAGAGCTTACGTCATCTTTCTCTAGGGTCCCCCTCCTGCGCTGCCTGACTCAGCGTTCTGCACAATAGATGCTGCTCACAGGCAGAGGCCATGTAAACACATCCATTTAACCTGTGAACCAAAGACTGGCCCTAAGGAGCAGTTTCCAGTACCTACTACATATAGAACAATACATATTGTCCCATATCATGTATTTATTGCCAAACTTGTACACAAATGGCTACATTATAAAATAATTTATTTTATAAATGTATTATACATTTTCTATGTGCCAAGTACTGTGCTAAGCAATTTACATGCATTGCAAGTTAGAATGTTCCCCCAAAAGTGTTTCATAAAAGAAGTACTAGCTTTATATTCAAGTCATTTTCAAGTTATATTATGGCCCTGGCTGGTTTGGCTCAGCAGTTAGAGCGTCAGCCTGCGGACCAGAGAGTCGTGGGTTCGGTTCCTACTAAGGGCACGTACCTCAGTTGCAGTTTGTCCCCAGTCCCGGTTGAGGTCATGTGGGTGGCAACCACTCAATGTGTCTCTCACATCGATGTTTCTCTCTCTTTCTTACCCCATCTCTCCCTCCTGCTCTATCTGAAGATAAATGCAAAAAAATGTCCTCAGGTGAGAAGAAAAAAATAAATGAATAAATGAATGAATGAATGAATGAATGAATAAAATAAAGTTATATTGTGGAGATTTTCTCCATTTTTTGAAAAAATGATACACTGTTTAGGGAAGAAGCATTAACCTAAACTAATTCCATCATGCTAGTGTAGAAACCATCTGACAGAATCTATTTTTTAAAATGGGACCAAGGAGACAGAGAATTTTAACATTGGCATATTAATGATTCCTGGGACATGACTTTATAATTGCTAGGGCTGCAAAATTTGTAAGTAAGCTTTATAAAGATCACTTATTTAAAAAAAGAAAAAGAAAAAGGGCCCTGGCTGGTTTGGCTCAGTGGTTAAAGCATTGGCCCGTGGACTGACGAGTTGCGGGTTCAATTCTAGACAAAGGCATGTACCTCAGTTGCAGTTCATCCCCGGCCCTGGTAGGGGTCACGCAGGAGGCAGCCAGTCAATGTCTCTCACATCAATGTTTCTCTCTGTCTCCCTCCCACTCTGTCTGAACAAAAATGGAAAAATGTCCTCGTCTGAAGATTAAAAAAGAAAGAAAAAGGCCCGGCTAGTGTGGCTCAGTGGCTGAGCATCAACCCATGCACCAAGAGGATGCTGGTTCGATTCCCAGTCAGGACACATGCCCAAGTTGTGGGCCTGGTTCCCAGTGAGGGGCATGCAGGAGGCGGCCAATCGATATTCTCTCTCATCCATGTTTCTATCTCTCTCCCCCTCTCCCTTCCTATCTCTAATATCAATAAAGAAAAAAAAATTCTTTTTTAAAGAAAAACAAAGGAACACAGCAAGTTGTTATGTTATGGAACCACAAACCACAGCATACCACTGCAGGGAGAAAAAACACCTGTAGGTCTGAGAAGTCATAGTTGAGTGAAGATAAAACTTCCAGTGCCATCATCACAGATGGATTTTTTAAAACTCTTCTCAGTAAACATCTCAAAAGAAAGCAAAGATGTGCTCTGGGAAACTCTGCTTAGAAAATAGACTCAAAAAGTCATTCTAATGGGGACAATCACTGGAATCGGAGTGTTTGTGCTGTTAAGAGTTTAAACAAAAGTGTTTATGTGAAATGTGAAATTAAAAATATTACCATGATTGGTCACATGTTTATATTTCAGATCACATTATATGGGTAATTGTAGTACTTCATTTCCATCATGCAAATATTACATACCAAATGGACCCCAAAAAGGATTGTTTTAATCTTCCCTTTGGAAAACAGACCCTTACCTTACATTAGGGTCCCCTTAGAGTCAAAGGCTTAGACAGAAGCAGAGACAGTTCCTTCACAACCACCCAAGGCATAGGATATGATGCCCATTTCACAGGGGAGGAAGTATGCGCAGACTTAAAGAAACTTGCCAAAGTCACACAGCTGTTCAGTACAAAGTTGCTGGACTTAAAGTCTGTGTTTTCAACCACCACCTCCACGCAGGAGGGTCCCACGTGCCTGTGTTTGGGGACTGCTGGACATAAATTGCGTCTCCTTCTCCAGCAGAAGGAGCACACACGTCCTTAAACACTAGCATGTGTGAAGGGCCTCTGTATTGAGGCCATGCTGGAAAGCGTCCCTGCTCTCTAGCAGTCCTCTTACCGCCCACCACCCCCTCAGCTAGGGGTGAAACAGGTGGCGCGGGAACGGCGACTAAAGAAGCCTCTGATCCCTCGGAAGGCTCCTCGATTCTACACAATCTTCACCACGTGAAAGAGAGATGAAAATCTTCGAAAAAGGTAAGGAATCGAAAAACAGTCCCCTGCTTACATTCTGACTGACACACCTTTGTTAAATGAACTGGAGACATTTTAGAGCCACAAAGTCAAGAGCCTAAGACTTCCTGTATTTGACCTGAATTTCAGGGCAGCAGCTGACTGTAGTTCACGTGTGCTCAATCTTTTGGGTTTGTTCTCAAATTCTCAGCTATGTTATACACAAAGAACTAATACAAAATAGTACTGAATGTAAACTGTAATTAGAAAGATATTTTTAATGTTTTTTTTTTAAAAAGAATATAATCTCTCATGCAATAAGAAGATAAAATAAAAGTGTTAGCTGTCACCCTGGCCAATTTGGCTCAGCAGTTAGAGTGTCAGGCCCCAGGACTGCAGGGTCGCAGGTTCGATTTCCAGTCAGTCACGCAGGAGGTAGCCAATCAGTGTGTCTCTCTCACATCAATGCTTTTCTCTTTCTCTCTCCCTCCCTCCCCCTTCTACTCTATCTCTACCTAAAAATCAATGGAAAAGTATCCTCAGGAGAGGATTAACAAAAAAAGTGTTAGCTGTCCAGAAAATCTAATTTTGCTCAAAATCCTAACACCTCTGAAAAATATTTTATTAATTTTTTTTATCCTCACCCGAGGACATTTTTCCATTTTTTGTTCAGATAGAGTAGGAGGGAGAGAGAGGAAGAGAGAGAGAGAGAGAAACATCGACATGAAAGGGACACATCGAGTGGCCGCCACCCACACAACCCAACCAGGGCCGGGGACAAACTGCAACCAAGGTACAAACTGCAACCAAGGTACGTGCCCTTAGCGGAAACCGAACCTGAGTCTCTCTGGACCGCAGGTCAACGCTCTAACCGCTGAGACAAACCAGCCAGGGCTCATTCCAGTAGTTTAAAGAGAACCCATAAAAAAGATGTTTTAAGGATAACGTTTCCTATCACATAAATCATAATTCTGACCTTCTGGATACAAGAGGTCCACACTTTTTTTTTTAATCCTCACCCGAATATGTTTTTATTGATTTTACAGAGAGAGGAATGGAGAGAGAGATAAATAAATCGATCAGCTGCATCCCAGGGATGGAACCAGCAACCTAGGCAAGTGTCCTGATGGGGAATCAAACCCGCAATCTTTTGGTGTACGATGCTCCAACCAACTGAGCCACCCGACCAGGGCAAGAGTTCTACACTTTTAACTGCCTTTTATCTTCCCCTGTTCTTCCAAGGAGGTAGGGAGACAAGTCACTTCTGGCCCTTGCAATACTGAGCGCAGGTCCTAACTCACCTGAATGTGCATGGCGCCCTCTACTGCTTCTTGAATATTCAAGCACCCAGTGATGAGGGACAGCTGCTGTTCTGCACTCAGAGAGCCTTTCAGAGAACCCGACTGCTCCAGCAACTTCATGTCTCTTCTAAAAAGAAGAAAAGCGTGATCACTGTGAGTATTCAAAAATCAAATTTTAAAACAAAAAAAGGTCAGCATCCCTCCTCCGTAGGGAAATACTGATCAAAACCACAAGGCTAGGCCACTTTACACCCATTATTAGTATGGCTGCTATCAAAAGAACAGAAAATAAACCAAGCGTTTGAGGATGTGGAGAATTGGAACCCTGTGCACTGCTGGTAGAAATGTAAAATGCGTGGCAAACAGTTTGGTGGTTACTCAAAAAGTTAAAAATACAACTAGTAAATGATCCAGCAATTCCAATTCTGGGTACATAACCAAACAAATTGAAAGCGGGGACTCAAATAGATATTTGTACACTCATATTCATAAAGGCATTGTTTGTAATAGTAAAAAGATAGAAACAATGCCCTGGCCAGATAGCTCAGTTGGTTAGAGCACTGTCCCCATATGCCAAGGTTTCGGGTTCGATCCTCAGTCAGGGCACATATAAGAAGCAACAAATGAATGCATAAATAAGTGGAGCAACAAATAGATGTTTCTCTCTCTCTAAAAATCATTTTTTAAAAAAAGACAGAAACAATCTAAATGTCCATAGACAGATGAATGGATAAACAAAGTGTGGTCTATCCATACAATGGAACATTATTCAACTTTAAAAAAGAAGGAAGCCCAGCCGGTGTGGCTCAGTGGATTGAGTGACATCCCATGGACCGAGAGGTCCCAGTTTGATTCCAGTCAGGGCACATGCTGGGGTTGCAGGCTCGATCCCTGGAGAGGGGTGTGCAGAAGGCAGCCAATCAATATTTCTCTATCACATTGATGTTTCTATCTTTCTCTCCCTTCCTCTCTCTCTAAAAATTTAATAAAAACATATTTCAAAATAAAAAGAAAGGAAATCCTGTCACATGCTACAACATGGATGAACCTCGAGGACAACATACTAAGTGGAATAAACCAGTCACAAAAAGACAAATACTGTATGATTCCACTTATATGCGGTCCCATAGAGACACAAATTAGAAGGGTGGTTACCAGGGCTGGGGGAGGGGAATTATTGTTTAATGGGTCGAGTTTCAGTTTTGCAAGATGAAAACAGTTATGGAGATGGATAGTTGTACAATAATGTGAATGTATTTAATATCACTGTACCGTACACTTAAAATGATGACAGTAAATTTGGGGTATTTTACAATTAAAATTTAAATTTTTTTTTTTTCAAAAAGGATGAAACAAAGCCAATGGGAGGTAAAACTGGAAAGCAGTAGTTCTTCATCCTTGCCCCTGGGGAGAAGGTTTGAGAGAAGGTATTTTCTAATCAGGACCAACAAGCTTCCTGGTGTGTGCACAGGGGCTGAGCTCAGAAGGGCCCTGTGCTGGGTGTAAGTCCTAAAATTCTCAATAATGCTGAGCCAAAGGTCCACATCTGCATTTGCACTCGGCCTCAGAAATTATGTAGTCAGTTCTGCTGAAAATTCATGATGGGTTAAATAAACAAGGTAGAGTTTATGCGCATGCGCGCACGCGCACGCGCACACACAAACACACGCGCACACACACACACACACACACACAGAGTTGCCTAAAGAGCAACAATCATGCTTTCCAAAAAATTCTGGGGATTTTTCTGCCAGTTGAGTCAAATAATTTTTACAACTTCATGTCATGCTTTTTATCTGGAAGCTGCCCAAGTCCTTCAGCCCAAGAACACATCACTTCATCTCCTCAATTACATTCAAAACAGTGTCTTCAGATCTGACTTCAGGTCAGCTCTCTGTGCTCACGATACCTGGTTTCTCATGTGTGTTTTCATTTCTCACTTCTGAGCCAGTTCATCAAGAAGCTTATGTTAGTTGTACAGAGTATTGTACAGTGTCTTAGTGACAGATTCAAAATTTAAGATTTGTCAGTTTGATACCTCAAATCAAGAAAGAACTGATTTAAGTGCCAGCAAATAGTTTATACACCATCGAGGGAGATGCAGCAAAATGGCTCGTAAGAAAGGTTACCCTGCTAAGATAAAAAGGGAAAGCAAAGATTTCCAAGTCTTAGGGTTTCTAGATCACACATCAATAATGTCAAATAAATCTCCCCAAACACTGATATATTTTCTATTCAAATTACCAGAGCGAGGAGAGCTTCATATGATTCAAAGATCATTTATTTTCAATTTCACAAGTTTTGATCCATCTTTCAAAATTTTTTACAATTCTACAACCATTTAAGCCCTAGCTGATGTGGTTAAGTTGACGTCGTCCCGTGCACCAGAAGGTAGTGGGTTCAATTCCCCATCAGGGCACACACACGGATTTCAGGTTCAATCCCTGGTCAGGGAGCATGTAGAGGCAATTGATTGATGTTTCTTTCTATCTATCTATCTATCTATCTATCTATCTATCTATCTCCCTTCCTCTCTCTAAAAATTAATCAATTGAAAAAACATTTAATTATACACTTTAACAAGTTGATTGCATGCTATATAAATGATATCTCAATAAAACTGTTATAGTTGTTTCCCACTGCTCCTGTAACAAATTACCACAAACTTAGTGGCTTAAACAACACACACTTACCATCTTATAGTCTGGAGGTCAGAAATGTCAGGTAGACTGATATCAAAGTGCTGGCGCGGCTGCGTTCCTAAGAGGCTCTGGAGGTGGCTCTGTTCCTTGCCTTTGCCAGACCCTAGAGGTCACCTGCTTTCTTTGGCTTCTTGGCCCTCTTCCACCTGCACTCCAACCTCTGTATCTATCATCAGACCTTCTTTGGGTCTCCTCCCTCCCCATAAGGACCCTTGTGATCACATTGGGCCACTTAGATAATCTCCCCATTTTGATATTCTTAACTTCATTACATCTGCAAAGTCTCTTTTGCCATGTAAGATGACATATTCACAGGTTCCAGGATTAGGCCCTGGGCATCTTTGGGGAGCCACTATTCTGCTTACCATACCTATTTTTTAAAAGTGTAGAACAGCCCGGCTACTTGAACAGCTCCGTGGTTGAGCATCGACCCATGCACCAAGAGATCACCAGTTCAATTCCCAGTCAGTGCACATGCCCAGGTTGTGGGCCCGATCCCCAGTGTAAGGCATGCAGGAGGCAGCCAATCAATGTTCTCACTCATTGATATTTCCATCTCTCTCTCCATTTCCCTCCCTCTCCTTCTAAAAATCAATAAAGAAAAAATAAATTAAAAGTATAGAACAAGCCCTGGCCAGTTTGGTCCAGTGGTTAGAGCATCAGCCTGTGGTCCCAAGAGACCTGGGTTCGGTTCCCGCTAAGGGCGCGTACCTCGGTTGCAGTTTGTCCCCGGCCCTGGTTGGTCGTGCGGGTGGCAGCCACTCGATGTGTCCCTTTCACATTGATGTCTCTCTCTCTCTCTCTCACTGTTCCTCTCTCTCCTTCCCACTCTACCTGAACAAAAAATGGAAAAATGTCCTCAGGTGAGGATAAAAAAAAAAAAGTGTAGAACAAGTAGAACATAGAACATCTATAAACTTCCTATAAAATTACTGTCCAAAATTATACTTACAGAACAGAGAGAACCTGCCTATTATGATTGGCTCTGTGCTTGGCAAATATTATTCCACCATGTTCTGAATTTCACTGGCTAATAAGAAGTCTGCTGTCAATCTGTCATTCCTTTATAGGCAGTCTGTCCTTTCTCTCTCTGGCTGCTTTTCAGACTTTTCTTGTGTCTCCTGGTGTTATATAGTTTCACTATGATTCATCTAGGGATAGATACCCTTTGTATTTATGCTACATGGGACACCGGTTCTTCCAAAATGAGGATCCATGTCTGTAGTTGACATTAACTCTCAATCATTATGTCTTCAAAAATTGCTCCTTTCCCTAGTCTCTCTAAATCTTTCAGACCTCTAATGAACTACTTCACATTTTCCATTGCTTCAACTCCTGAATTACATACTAAATAGTATCATCAGATCTGACTTCAAGCCAGTTCACTGTGCTCATAATACCTGGTCTCTCGTGTGCTTTGTGATTTTCGGTTGTGAGCTGAATTCTATATATGGGGATTATTTTAGTCTTGGGTTTAAGGTACATTATTCTGGAAACGATATGCATTTTGCTTCTAACAGGCACTTGGAGACACTAATAACCAAAGGACCTGTATAAATTTCCTGGTGTGGAGTTTTTAAAACCACACAGATAGTATGAATTTGGGCTTCAAATGAAGAGAGCTGGTTTATGTATAAATTCTCAAAGAAACTCTTTCTCCTCTCCACCCAGAATCAAGGTCAAGACAGATGAGCCTCCATGTATGGGTGAGTTATATTCTTCCTAGTTCTCCATTTCACCAACAATGTAGCCCTTTGAATACTAGCTTCATTCAAGGTCTCCAATTTGATCCCCCATCATCTACAGACTAAGGCTTGCTGTTAGAACGAAAGGTCTAGATTAGCAAGATAGGCAAATACTCTTAGAGCAGTTATAGTTTTCACACATCCCTTGGGTCTCATGTTCTCAGATTGGTCTCTGAGAATTTATGTTAGTTTCTTGCCAGTTCAGCTATGCATTAGAAAGAAACTATGAACTATACACATCTACTCCATATTTTTAAATATTTCAAGTTGAAGGTATTTTCAGGATACTTGCTTTGCCATATTGCCAGAAAATAAACTCTAGACTGCTTCTTTAAAATCTAATATCCCTTCTTGTTCACATGTACAGAAAAAAATTACTGATGTTAGGGTTATCACTGTTAATGCCTACTCTTTTGTTTCCCAGTTTTGTCCATTTGGAAAAAAGGTATATAAATAATACCTGACTCCAATAAACTTAGCCTTTAAAACAACTACAGATATTTCAATGAAATGCATCAAAACACAAAGAAGTTTTCTTTTTTTTATTTAGTCCAGCTTGTTCCCTTAAGTGACACAGAAATCGAGGCCCAAATTGGTTACAGATTCACCCATGGACATCAAGCTGCAGGAGGCAGGATGGGATGGAAACCATCTTCAGACTCTTTCTCATAAAAATATTA